TTATTTTAACACTGTTAATAGTTTATTTATATTATCACTATAAACTATGTGATATTTCAACACTACTAATAATTCATTTGTTCTATGACTATCAACTATGTGTTATTTGAACGATACTAATATATTATTTATTCTAGAGCTATAAACTGTTTGTTATTTTAACACTGTTAATAGTTTATTTATTCTAGCACTATAAATGATATATTTCAATACTATTTTGAACCAATTTATTTTTTCTTCTCTAAACTATTCTTGATTTAAAGAATGCTTACGGTCTACCTTTTCCTCTTCTTTTTAACTATTACTAGTAATGTTAGTTTCCGGCTATCAGTAATAACAGTTAGCAGAATGTCACCCCGAATGGTCTGTTTGTTAATGTTGGACGTCATTTAAACGAGGCTGCGCATCAGAAAAACGGTAAGAATATCACAAGAGTTCATGCATTTATTCTGGGTGACTTGACCTTACCCCATTTACTAGGCCTATTTCAACTTAGGTAAAATTCACAAGATAGGGGAGTCGCAGAGTAAGGGATACGTGAAAAAATGCTTATAAAACGTAAATAATGTTTATTTTTTGTCTTTCAGCTACTTCCATATGACGCTGCTGAATTCGTATTCAGCTATAGAAGACAGGAAATCTTGAGATATATATCGATCGCTTAACAGATTGCTATTAGTAAAATTAAATGTTTCTTTGGGTTAGCGTTAAGTTTACGAACTGACAATGCTAAAATCCGGAGTGCGATTTCCCGCGGTAGAGAGAGCAAAAATAGCCCATTGCGTAGCTTTGCATTTGTTCTATTTATTTTTCTAGAAACGTTTAAATTGGCGTGTATATTGCCCAGTCTCATTAACTACCGCTCGATCTATCTGCTATTAGCGACAAATAGTTAGTCTATACCTGTTTGTGCAGTTAGTAGCAGACTAAAAGTATACAAATTTCCGCTTCTAGGAGATAATATTTTCAAGATTAGGTGACTAAAATATTTATTCTATCGCTGTAAACTATGCGTTATTGCAATGCTAATAATAACGTATCTATTTCATTACTCTAAGCTATGTATTATTTAATATTGGTAAAGGCTTATTTATTCTATTTCTATAAACCGTGTGTTATTCTAACACGTCGTTTCAACACAACAATACATTTCTCTTCTGTAACAATAACTAATTCAGTGTTTAAACGGTACGTAGTACCAGCAATAAGTAACCAGTAAATGATATTATACAGACAATGAAAGAAATACGCTATTTGTCAGCTACTTTAAGCTTTTGAAGCTTCTTTTTAAACTTACCCCGGCAATGTTTCTATCCTTGAAATAAGGACATTCTAGAAAGAGTTAAGTTCGTGTAAGGTGGTCGTTATAAGGAGGTAAGCCCTCTCATGGACGATCTTCCAACAGAAGTAAGCTTGTCTGTGGTTTATGTTTAACCTTCCAAGAAGATACTTTACAAACTGTAAGGAAACCATCAGCACACATCAACCTGAGCTAACTGGTGGTCCGAGCAGCTCGAGGTTAACTAAACTGTCGTATATGAAGCTATAGGCTACGTAATCCAAGTCCCTGAATATCTTCACAAATCGATTCGTCACACACACACACACATAGCTGCTGCTATTCGATAGAAGCTCATTTCAATTGGTTGAAGCGTGGAAAAATGATTTTATTTCTCTCATAAGTTGTCGCTAGGTTCTGAGCGGACAGGTTTTAATATTTAACATACCTAGATACGTGTTCTTTTAAAGAAGTATTGTTGAGAATATTGACTTAATGTCGTCATCTTAGCCAATTCAAACCGTGAGTTTATTATACGAAAATATGAAGCATTTGTTTTATAAGCGAATGTAATAAACTTTTCTTGGTTAAGGTTCTAAAACATTACTTCTACACTGGGTATTAAGTGCAAAAAATAGTAAAAATTTGAAAGGAATTGGAATTTTCAATCCGAACGGCATGTTTTATGCTCATGAACTAAACATGGGTCATTGTGAATCTTCAGATTCATGGTTCGCGACTCATTTGTCGCAAAGAAGCGCTTCGAACTTTGGGATCGTGGATCTACTTTTCGATCAGAGAAGAGTAACTGAGGAATTGGCGGTGAAAAGTGTTGGCTATTTGTCTTCCTTCTACTTACAGTTCAAAATTAGTGGCGAATATGCTGAAATTGTCCTTGTGTAGTTTGTGCAAAATTCTGAAACAAACACCGGGCCAACTATAGAAGTGCTTCTAATTAACTCCTCAATGTCACTCACAGTTCCAAAGACTTCATTACAACATTTTTCATACTCTCATTATTTGGAGTGCGCATGTGTGTCTGTTTCCGTTGTACCATGTTTTTATATTCTAAAACATTAAAGGTAGTAACCATATTTATATATATGTTTATATCAGTTATTTTTATTTAATGTTTTCCAAACTGAACCTAATTAAATAATCTTTAGCTGTCAAATGACTTTCAACTTAGTTTATCTTTCAAATGAAATTATGATATCTTAATTATCAAACAAGCTATCAAAATTTTTAAATCAATCAAACAAAGCCATTTGAAATCAAATTAATTATAGTGTTCGCAAAATTAACTGTAACAAAACATTTGCTTTTAACATACACCGCTTTTAAACCTAGCCACTGTTGATCAGTGGTAAGCTTGAGGAATTATAACGTTAAAATCCGGGCCTAAAAATATGCAGCGAGCACTGCGAAATTGTGTAGCTTTGCATTTCAAAAGCCCTCTGGACAAAACGGATATTGAAAAGCCAATGATCATTTTCTTTTGGGAAAAGTATTCCACTTATCCTCATAGTTGATTAAATGCTAAAATATGTATCATTTTAGTTTTTTTTTTCAATTGAATGTTCCCATCTTTCACCTGTAGTTTTCTTCTGACATTTTATGAAAAATATGTTGCCATCCCAACTTTAGTGGCTTTTCCTATAAGGATATAAGCCAACTGAGTAGATACACTCGGTGGTTCCAAGTAATCGGAGGTCAAAATGGTCGGATTTATATTTTTTATTACTTTTTATAAAATAATTTGGTAATTTAAGTGGCACTTTTAAGACTTGGTACTGGTTATAAAATAGTCGAAATATTAGGCATTTTGAAAGGATTTAAGCATATGTGAATGCTACGTATTAATCAATAAAGCTATAACGAAAAACAACAACAAAAAAGTGTGAAGTAGTCTAAAGTGACCAACAAAGAAGAATCACAGCAGTCCTCGAAGTAGTGTTTTGAAAAAGGACAGGGATGCTGTCATACATCCAGAAGAATCTAAAACATTTTGAACTATCCTTGATAGTAGAAGTTAACTGGCAAACACTTGTGCTTACTTTTCTAGAAAACTCTCTACAGAAATAAATGTAATGTATTTTTTAAGAACATTTCCAGAACCTGTTCTTTTCCTTGCAGCTAATCCTTCATAATCGACGCCCTTTATTATGTACTGTTATCCAATACTGCAATTTCCATGCTAACTTTAATCTGAAATAGACAATGAACTGAAGCTTTATCGCACATCTTGACAAACTTTTCACAGAGCCTCCACTGTATGTGGACTTCAATTTAAAGACCGTAGCCACAAAAGTCCACTGAAGCTGCATCGGAAGATTTTACAGATAAGCCATCTGATCGAACGGGATTCTTATGGTCCGTGTTTTTTCGGTCATTTTTTCTGATTAAAACAGCCACTGATTTTGAGTTGTGGCTGAAAACTCCCAAACATTTGTATTTGGGGCTTCATCTACAAATTCTTGTTCATTTAATTCAAAATGACTTTTTTGAGTCAGAGGGTTCTCCTTCGTAGATATAACTTTCATTATAGCAGATGAAGGCGTTGTTCCGACTCTGCTTGGGATGTGGTTTTGGCATCAGATGCTTTTCTAAACGCTCAGTTGTGTGAATGTTTTATTTCAACGTATACCACGAATGGTCAGAAATTCTCCATGTGGAAAATAAAGTATATATATATATGTGTGTGTTATATAAATATTTTGTCCGTGTTCCTACGGCTCTCATATGAGGCGGCGACACACCACCACACTTGTATATGGAAATCGCTCTCATAACGTGTGATGATTACTCTGAACTCTGTTCCCCGGTTGGTCAGCGGCTAGTTTGATTTCTCGCAGTGGACAAAGTGCAGGTAACCCATTGTGTAATTTTGCACTTAGAAAACAACAACAACTTCTAAAATGTAAAAGCCAGTAAGATATGCATGTATTATTTATTTCTTATTAGTTACACTGTTTATTTCATGTATGTGTTTTCTTACCAGTGTGTCTGTTTATGGCACATACATTTGTTTAAATAAACATTATCCGGTAGTGTCAAGGGTATAAGTAAAGTACCTTAAATAAATCACCAAGATAATAAAAACATTGGTAATTTTATCTGCATTACGCACGTTATTGCTTTTTTCTATTTGCTTGATAGACGGACTCGCTTCAAGAGGATAGAATCCTGGGTATGAAGGGGATGAAAAAAAAAAGATGCAAGATATCATATAATAACAGTTTTATCGTAAAACAATCTTTAGGGTTGGGGTTTCTTCAAGAAATTTGTGTTAAAATGGTATAAGCAACAATAAGAAATAGCGTGAAAATGGTATTGAAAAGTAATGTTACTTACAAAATCTTACACCTGTCACTGCAATATAAAGCTTATTATAAATTGTATGAAAACAGTCATAACCTTCCTTTAATCGATTATCATATAACCTAGCGATTTAATGTGGTATATCTATAAACATCTATATAAATAATACGCTTGCTTGCTTGCGTTTATCTGTCTGGAATTTTGATCGTAAATTTCTTGATCAAACGCTGCAAATCTGACATCGTTAGAAAGACATTTGTCCGAGGAGTCTGGATTGAATACTGGATTTTCCATTCAGAATCACCTTCAAAAATGCTTAGTCAAACTTTTTAATTCAACGAGTTTGCTACAAGATGGCACAATATTGTTGTCATCACGTGACGACTGGTTATGATTTCAACTTTAGTTTTTTTATTTGGAAAGTATTTCACACAAACAACACTTTCCTAAGAAAACGAACATTATAGTAAATACAATTGCTTTCTCAACTTAATTAAGTCTAAAATACGCATGCGCACTTTGTTTAAAACTATATCCTTATCACTTTGTGAACACGCATTCAGACGTTTCTGCATATTCAGCTAAGTTTACCTTCATTACAACTTTACATTTACTTTAAATTTGCAATTGAATATTGAAGGACAGCACAATAGCTTATGGAATGCATTCCGAAAATTGTAAAAGCTTTTGGTGTTTAAGACGTTTTACAGAAGGGTGAGAGCGTTATACTAAGAGGATTTTAAATATGTAGCTCAGCAAGTCCTATGACAAATGTAAAGCGGCGGTGGAACGCCGTGTATCACAACTGCATTTTTACATTGTTTGGCTTAGTAGGTAGTCAAATACTACCGAAAATTGATCGTTTTTTTGGAAGAGAATGTAAGAAGCTTTCCTAACGCAAAAATAATAATTCTTTTATATCATAAAGATGTCTTCAAATTAGAATTTTGGAATTTTCAAGAGATGGGTGTCCCTTATACTTAATGTCATTGGAAAACAAAGGAATATGGATCAACTTGAGGCATCAGGACCACTCAGAGTGAGGCCTGCAACGAGTCGTATTTCAGCTGTGGTAAGTGAAGTGTGTTGTTTTGTAACAAGTGAGAATTCGCAAGCACAAAGATCAATAGTAAAATACAATAGTATACAACATAATCAAGAATGATCTCCTCCTGGAAAAGAAGCCACACTAGCTGCGTGTACACAAGCAGCTCCCATGACATATCAGGACATGCCATTCCCTAAGAATACATTTTAGTCAAGTCACCAGACACAGTGCCTATGGATTTCTGTGCAACTGGACTGTTGAAAAGTAAGCTGAGAAACAGTTGTCCTAGTATACTAGATGGATTATTTAAAGTAAACAGGAAGGAGGGGCGTGTTTGAGCATGACAGCCTTACGACAGAACGTTTTGCAATGGAAACTACGCTGCAAAGTGGTAGCCCATGATTGAACGTGAAGACGTCGACTATAACGACATGGTGAGCTTCCAAAATCGTTTTAATATAACGTAGAAGTGCGATTTTCAATTAATTGTATTTTTATGTCATTAAATCTTCATTAGCAGACTCCCCTTCACTTCATACATTGTTTGTGAAAAGATTTACTACTGATTTACCTCACTTGGGACAACATATAAAAAAATAAACTGTCTTCTTTGTGTGTCTTTTAAAAACAGTCCAATTTAACAATGTTTAACATTTGTTTTGACTGAAACTATTCCTGTTTTGATGCACATGATACTGAGCTAAAAGTTTGTGTGAAAAGTTAAGTACATAGTGATGTAATAAATTCTAACAGAATACCTTCTTTAAAAATCTTCAATAAAAATTACAAATAATAATAATTAGTTTTATTTGTGAGCGACAGGAAAACTATAGAAAGCCTTTATGATCACCG